ATATATATATATATATATATATATATATATTAAAAAAAGAAAAACTAGAGATGCACATAGATACTGGCGAGTCCCTGAAATTGGTTTGAATTTCCAAATGAAAATCTGGGTTCCTGATTGGTTACAGGCTGCCAAAATAATTGAATCTCATCTTTTTACAATGAGAGAACACATAACTACCAGAGACCCTATAAGGGTAAGGAGAATGGATGGTAATTGTAGTGGTAACAGGGAAGGCATGTGCTGGTTATTGTTTTCCTTGGACATTTAATACAGCTGTAGTAGTAAAAAAAAATAGCTGTCTATACCAGTATGTGTATTTACATTAAGCTGTCCATTAAACTTGGCAAACTAAACTGGTGCTAGTTTCAGCTGATGGATCTTGCTGGATTTGTAAATGTTGGCAGCCTTTTGGAAATCTGAGTTTAAAGTTGAGGGTCTGCATACTCTGGAATAAAGGTACAATGTATGTGAGATTTAGCCTTCCCCCTTCTCTGCCAGTCAATCGCAAAGACTAAGATGATTCTGATAAATGTGGCTGCATGGAAACAAAAAAAGATAACTGATGAGAGGTAAATAAAAGTATATTTAACCTGTTTTATTACCTCATATTTTTAGCAATAGTTGTGATTATTTGGGTGACTTTATCAGGCATTTTTGCACCAATATAACAGCTGGCAAAGCCGGTAGTCGAATGGGCAACAGCCCCCTGCAAGAGGCATGAGGAATATTGCATTTTAATCCAAACAGATGAGGGCAGATGCTTGCTTATTATTATTTTACCTTCCTTTATTTTGTGGCACTGGGTGCAAGAATGAAAGTTCTATGATCTATCAGCTATTCCCCATCATGTTTTTCCTTAAAACAGGCCGCTCCATCATGCCGATCCGATTTTCTCTGAATATTTTATCCCCGCTTTTCATTTATGGCAGTGCTTACAGCAGATATGTAATGAAGCATGAGAAGCTGGTCCACATGTTGATCATGTTACGAAGCTTCACTGTTTGCATAACATAGAACTCATAGTATTTATCTTTTCCTAAGCGGAGAAATGTGTGCCCTATTACTTACACTCATTTTTGAAGCTTTGCATAAAAAAAATCTGTGAGATTGGAAACCATCCTTGACTAAATAAAATGGACTTTGATGAGCTAAACCATTGTATTAATCTGTTTAGGAGGATTGCTTAGGGTCAGCATTCCATTGCTTGTGCCCAAGCTTGAGCTTGATGGGTCTCTCCTGCTGCAAAATATTTATACAAAATGCACAAGGAGGTCCTTGCACAGCATAACGAACTGAAAAAAGATCCCTGTTGTTGACACAGACAATCCTGTTTACATTTATTAAAGGATAACTAGGCTATTAAAAAAAACAAAAACAAAGATATTTTGCTATTTAAAAATGTCCTTCCCCAAAGCAACTTTTTTCTTGTTTTTTCTCTCCAACAGTGTGAAGTTATATTTTCTTCTGGATGCTGAAGAAATATTTTGGCAGCTGTAAATTCTAGTTCTTTAACAGAAACTGGAATGTTCCACAATAATCAGAAGTTCAAAGCCTAACAAAAACTGGGCCCCGATTGGAGCATATCCATGAAAAACTGAGATCACCTTTGAGAAGCAGCCGTTTGGCGACCAACTTTACGAAGTCCAAACTGCTCAGAGCCATAAGGTTGAACAGCACAATGCACCAGAAGTTGAATGAGTTGAAGATTGCTCTTATGCGGCGGGACATTGCCTCCGACATTGCCATCTGTAAGGAAAACATGATCAACACCTTCTTTAATTATCCAGAAATAAAAGGGGAATAAAAAGAAATAACCAACCTCAAAGGATGCAAATGGCTCCATGGAGAAGACCTTAGCAGCCCACAGCTCAAAGTTCAAACCAAAGCAGTTGAAGAAAGCCCAGAATAGGACTGTTTCACAGGGGCCCAACCAGAGGATGGCCACACCATACGTGCAAAGTGTTGCCACCAGCTCCTCTACCATATTGTCATGCTTTCCACCAAGATAATCATAAATATACCTGAGGAAAGAAAACCCATCAGAATCTCCAACATCCAGCATGACTAAAATAGTGAATAATCTATAGAGCTTACTTGCACAACCAATCATTGATCCCTCTGTCAAAATGCCTAAAAAAAGAAAACAGTTTCATTACCTGAAATCCTGTCATCAGCTCTTCAGCTTCAAATCCAGAACTTACGTTTCAGAGAACACATAGAGCATGGTGATGCACTTTGGTGGTTTGGGCGGGTCCAGATGATCCAGTCTGGACACGGTGTTGATGACTCCAAACATGACAGCTGCTTTTACCCAGTCATAGACCAGGTTGATGTAGGCCAGACCCACTGCAAACATGCAGGTGCATTGATTCTGTTAGTAAACTCAGTCTTTAAAATCTGAAATATCCCTTAAATTTTTTTTTTATTTTGTAAACAAAACAAAAAACCACGCATACCTTTAAATTTAGATAAATTAGTGTGGTACCTACCCAGAGCCCAGTCAGAGAGGTGCTTCAGCAGCTTTATATCAGTGGGGATGGTGAGGATGTACATGAAGTGGAAGAGGACATCCACTACGAGGACGACTCCCAAATGGATCACACCCTGCAAGCTGATGTTCCACATCTCCCGCTCTTTCCTGCTCAGGTCAGACTTATTGACCTGCAAAGAGCAGCAGTGTTATGTCACAACTTGTCTTGTATAGTCGTGAGAGAATATAAGGCGACCTGCTGGAGTTCCCACACACTTTGAACAATTCAAATTTTTTTTTCATATTGAATGACAAACTTCAATGGATATATTATATATGTAAACATGAAGTAAGAGGAGAATAAAATTATGATAAAAGAAATATTGTGAAAGTAATGTATGCACATCTGATGATTTGTCTATTCTTTTTAAAATGGCTCAACCTCAGAAGATGGAGATAAACTTAAAAAATCAGTTGTAAAAAAGTCATGACACAATTTTTTGGGCTGTAGTTTGATTGGGCCAATGTTTTCATACCTTTTGTTGTTTCTCACCCTTTGTCTTCAGTGATTATTGTCCTTTAAGTTTTACATTTCTCTCAAAGAACTGTTAATTATCCATTTATTTTTGGCACTGAGAGTGGCAGCAGGGAAATCCCTAAAAACTAGCTGGTCCAAAGGTCCTCTTGTCTCAACATCTCACTGCAGATCAAGCCCTTTGATTCCTTCTTAAAAGGCAAATCCCATATTTAGCTCAATCCAACTGTGCTCAGACTGATGTGCAGGTTTTCTCACTAAAGGACACGGCTTTGACAACCATGAAGCTCAGATCTTGTACAGATCTGGTTTGAAAGGCAGTTAAGGATGCCATTTTTGTGAAATCATAAATGCAAAGAAGTGGCTGACTGATTTGCATATTATGTGTTATATTGTCAGAAGGATGGGCTCTGTCTACAGGTTGCTGTAGTGCAGGGGTCTGCACCTGTGGCTCCAGAGAAAAAAGCTTTGGACCTTTAACAATGGCTGAAAGTATAATGAACCAACTAATGGTTCTAAATATAGTATTTTTTAACAAATAACATTCTTTCAAGCTTTATCAGACTTTTTAAAGAAAATTTGAATCTAATTTTCACTACAGAATAACATTCAGATTTGTTTAAAATCAGGGATGTGTTTTTTAGATCTGTATTTCTTGTGATTAACTTATTTTTACATATAATATCCTACAAAGCAAAATCTAAAAGCATTGCTTTCTCATTATAAAATAATAATGTTTTTTCCTTTTTAATAAAAATTTAAAATGAAAATAAACTGTTGTTTAAAATGGCAACAAATTACCTATTGCAGGTATTTAACAAAAATAATAAGTTGTGTTTCATTTACAGGCCTTGTAATAGTTGCAGCTTTAAATGATTCCTATATAACTGAGCTCAGGGTAAAATAGCTCTTTGGATTAGAAGGATTGCAGACTGCTGCTCTAATGCGAGCTGCCAGAATTAACAAAGACCTCTGTATAGGAGTCTTGTTGTCTTGGATTTAAGCCTTTTTGTGTTTTTTGTAACATTATACATTTTCAATATAGGTAACAAGTTAAATTTTAGTATTTTCTTTGTCTTCAATAAAAGCCAGATTGAGGAAAAAATTACTTATATCCTCCTGACACGTCTAATCATCCAAACTATAAATTTCTGTTGCTCCCCCATTTCTGTTGTCTCTTACATCTCTCGTTATTCTTATCTTTGCTAAATGTCTATTAATTTCTCCTTGTCTCATTCTCTGTTTACACATGGATTGAACATTGAGACAGTTAAACCTTGTTATTTTTACATCCTTAACCCTGCTTTAAACCTCTCCAGAACTTTCCCTGACCCATCTTCATGTTCTGGATTTAAACTGAGTTAAATTAAACACAAAGGGATTTTAATAACTCCCAAAAGCAGTTGGATGCACTGGATTTTATTTAGGGTTGAGAGTTTAAAAGATGAAAACTTCCAATGCAAGTAACATGTTTTAGATTTTATTATTACAATGAGAAAGCAAAGAATGCTTTTCCTTCTACTTCATAATGCCCTTCGCAAGTCATTGTATAAGGCTGAAAAACACATCAGTGGCTGTTTGCAAGGACAAAAGATTAGATCAATACAAAGCAAACCTTTATAGAATGTATAATTCTTGTAACCTTAAGTTTTGAGTTGCTGGATAATACTTACTATAAGCAGAAATATGAATAAAGTGGCCCTCATTTTAACAAACAGCGCCATCTAGTGCAGCATCTAGAAACTATCCCTAAACCCTCCAGCTGTTGGGTGATTGTGGTTCAACTGAAAAGATTGAACTGGCTTCACTCACTTGTCCATAAAATTTGTCAAAGGTCATGATGGGTCCAAAGTAGAAGAAAGGCAGGTAAAAGTTGTACTTGAGTAGCTCCAGGATGTTGTAGTTCCCATCTTTCCTTTCACAGTTTTCCAAAGCAAAGCTCATGCAGCGCATGATAGTGAACCCACAGCCACCGTAAAAGAGGACATGCCGCAGCTCAAAGTCTCCTTCCACAAAACCTGCCTGTTTGGAGAAATGTACAGTGATACTATACACCCATGATGAGAAGAAAAAGACTCAAGGTTTGACAGCTTTTTCACCTGCCAGGAGACAAAGGGTTCACACTTGAACGTGGCCAGGGTGCAGAGGCCAGCAACAAAGCAGAGCCAGCGGATTTTCACTAAGGAGATGCTGTAGAGCAGGATACAGTGGGACAGCATGAGGGAGACATAGGTCCAACCCATGCTGGTCCATACGGCCAGCAGACCATACACCATGTAAACCAAGGACCTGTACTGTAGGAAACATATTACACAGTGAGGCTATTTCACTTTGAAATTAAGGTTCTAGAAAGTCAGATTTTTGTTACTGTGGTTTCCCTCGTTATCAAACAAGTCCCTCCATATAGGAAGTGAAAAATATATGGATGTCCCAATCCGATATCAATATTGGATATCAGTTTTTATGTTAGGCAAAAAAATTATATCGGATTTTTATATGGGTCAGTTGTTTTCCTACCTTTTGTTGTTGGTTTTTGTTCCCTGTTTTGGTAATATTACTTTATCACACCTTCTATACCATTATACAGTATAAAATTGTATGATTCATGCTAATATTGTTTCAGTTCAATATCGGTATCGGCCAAATCTCAAAGCTGCAATATCGGTATCTTATCAGAATTGAAAGTTTTATCAGGACACCCCTTGAAAATAATCAGTTAAATTTTATTTTGTTTATCACTTTTCTTATCTGCTCATAAAATCAACCACTTATGATCTGTAGTAGTTAAAATGATAAAAGAATTATTAAAAATTATTATTTATGCTTACACTACCTGAGGTGCGAGCATAGAGCAGATTTTGGCGAAGAGCACATGACCAGAGAGGGCAAACAGGATGTGATCTCTGTAGGTGGAAAACCACATCATCCACTCAAAATCTGCAGTGTCCTGTAGGCCACAGGGTAAAACAAAGATCAATAAGACAACTTATTGCATCTCTGTTAATTATCACAATATGTCTTACCATTTTTCTCCCAAAGTATCCAGGTCTCACACTGGCTTTGAATGTCTTTCTGTTTAAATTGGCTAAAAAATATATCAGAAAGGAAGAATAAAGTATATAATTGAGACAAAGAATGTTTTATTTAATACTACAAATGTGATGACAAATATAAGTTTTTCTTATTTTACATATAAAAATGCATTTGCATTAGACTGAAACAGATATGGGTTCAACAGAGAGCCGTTTTCTTTGTGTCCTTGTTATATTAATAGTGACACCCGATCTCCTGAGCATGCTCTGCATTGCTGCTACGACCCTCACACTGCCACATGTGGATCCTGCACATTAGTCTGTCTGAAAATCATCTCTCTTTATGCAGTTTGATTAAGCTGATTTTATTTAGTTTCATATTACATATTAACCTCACTTTAAATATTTATAGCGAGTGCTTGAAGTTACCCTTACATAAATTCTTTTTTTAAATCTTTTTTCTTTTTTACATTTGTGTCATCAGTAAATTAACCATTTCCCTATTTTAATGTGTACTGTATTTTTATTACCCATAAAACTTCCCTCTCTTAATTTCATTACTGTAGTTCTAACTCTGATTTTGTTCTCTGTTGGCCAAAAAGCTACCCTTTACACCAATCTGATTTGTTTTATTGTTTTTTTTTGGTAGCATGCCTGCGATTAAATTTGATAACAGTTAAAAAAATGCATGACATTATAATCTTTATATATTGTGTATCCTCCTGCTGTCTGTTAAATTTCCACAGAAAACTCTTCTGCATGCATCATTAGCTCCTATGTATGACTGTTTATCATAGATTTCTTATTCATAGATTGCTTTTTTTGCAGGTTTGATACGATCTTGAACTTTTGGCCTTTTTGAACATTTTTGTTAAACAACAAAGTTTAAAGATGAACATATAATTCAGTTTTATTTGTGCACTTATGATGACCAATTAGTTTTTATTTCATGTTTAGGCACAAAAAAAAAAATAACTTTATATTAAATAAAACCAAAATAATTAAGTCTGTCAATGAGCAGTTTTTTTTATTTCTTAAATAAATGTCCATGTTTCATGCATTAAAATGAAACACTAAATGTAACACTGCTTTGGTTTACTGAAGCCCTCCTGGTCAAAGACACAGACAAGGGATTTTACATCCTGTTGAAAAGAATCCTAAAAAATTGGTACATTGACATAAAACTACAAAACAGCACAGACAACCTAGTAAGGTCTTACATTTTCATGAAAGCTGTACATTTCCATATTTTGTTTTAAATTAATGTTCTCAAAACAACTTTAAATCTTGTCAGACATCCTCCCAGCACCATCCTGTCTTTGGTCGGACACAAGAGCCCCTCTGCATACTTACAGCTTGACACTTCAAAGATCCAGCCGGCTGCCCAGAACATGGCCAGGCACAGCACGGTGTTGTAGAAGTAGATCTCATACTTGGGGAGAGCAGCTTTGATCCCCATGATTATGAAGAGATTTGGAGGCCGCTAATGAGATAAAAACAACACAGTCAATGCAGCTCACTTTTTTTCTTTTTAGATAACATTATCCCCCTGAAAGGCTTACAAAGATAATATAGATAAGATACAATATGGCTGCAAACCCCTCTACAACCCCCTGGTTTATGTTGTTTTATGCCTTTTATTGTAGACCTAAACGTTTCAGGTGCAACTGACAAAGATTACTTATGTAAATACAAAAAACAAGTAAAATAATTTCTAAAACAAGTAAAATATGTATAGAATAAAACATGTCCTGTCTGACCACAATAACAAGGCTGAAAAGCTTCCCAAAAATAAACAGACAAAAAAAGAAACTGCCATGCTCCGATTAAAAGGAAATTTATGAGTTTGGATGAAACAGTCATAACCTGGAGAAGAATATAAAGCTGTTTTTCTTCAAGGCTTTGGGACTTCAGTATGGAGAGTGGATCAGTGACTGAGTTCACAAAACAACCAAGGCGACATCTAATGACCTTATTTACCTCAGTTAAGGATAAAATTTAACAATATGAAAGAGACTTGGAGAGTTCTAAGGATAAATCTACTGTTGACCAGAAAGAATACAATGTGCAATTTCACATTTCCCAAAAGACATTATGATTCCTCCCCCAAAGACTTTTATGAAATTATTCTGTGGGTTGCATCCCTTTTTGGAAGATGTGTCTTGTTGCATTTGGTAGGAGACCAAATCATAGATTAACAGAAAGAAAAATACCCACAATGCAAAATGTTTTAGGTTTACTGGTCTAGGACTGTTTCTCTGTTTTAGAACCTGACCAAACTGATGGAACCCCAGATTTAATTTTTTATTTTTCCTGGAGTATACAGCTGTGCAGTCCAACCCTGATTAACCCAGACAAATATAAATGTTGTCATGTGGCCTAGTCAAAGTCTGAGGTTGAATTTAATGGAAAAGGGCTATATGTTCTTCAATGTGGCTTAATAAAAATTCTATGGACCAAATTTCCTCCACAAAGAGAGAGAAAAAAATTGAAGTATTGAAGTACAATTCAATGAAATATTTAATTGTAGTTATCACCACCAAGGGGGTAATTGTATTTACACATAAATTCAGTTTGATTTGGAATGTTTTCCCCAAGTAATAATTATTTAAAAACTGAATTTTGTATTTAATTTTCTTTTTTCTTTGTCAACAATTAAGATGTGTTTGATAATCTGAAAGATTTAAGTGTGGCCAAAAAAAAAAGAAAAAAACATTTCACACCTCTGTAGTTTTGAACTTGGGAACAAAGCTTTAAATCAATCTTTTACCGTTCTAATTAAAGCCTATGGTATACGCCTTGCCTTCAGACAACCCTCCCACAACCTGTACCTTTAACCTGCTGTGTTCCATTCGCCTCAGATCACAGGTGAACCAAACATCCACCCTTTCATTTTTCCAGTAAGCCTATCTATCACTTCTAACATTTTCAGATAAATGAAAACATAGGAATGTTCACCAAGGCAAAATTCCAGTTGCATGATTTTCTGGTTTTGCACATTCTTCCTAACGACCAAGATGTGCACAGGTACTTAACACACCTGAAGGCTTTCTGCTCGTCAAATCATTAGTTGAAGCAGCAGCACATTTATAGACTGTTTTTTTTTACTCTCTTAGCAAAACTGCTTCTCTAATAAACTAATAATATATATTTTCTCTCAAAATGATGATATATTCAGCTAAATGTTTACATGTCTGGCCACTCCCCCCACCTGTCCTCTTAAAATAAACAGGTCCTTTCCAGCCTCATCAGGTGTTTAATTAAGATAATGCTGAGTTCCAGTACCACGGACATCAGATTCCCATAAAGTCCTTCTATTTGAACCAAGATATGGTGAGGAACAACTGTAACACTACAGCTGATCCTTCCAGGTGCAGGACACAAAGCTGGAGGAACCCATTCATCCCAGCAGCCATCAGGCTCTTCAGAAAATAGTACTTGGATGCATTCAATGATTCATCAAAACCTATATATGATAACATACTGTTCTGGATATATATAGCTGAATCTGCTTTTTACTTTCTCGACCTTGATTGTTCACGTCTGTGCATACCCAATGTCTCTCTATCCCAGTTAAATATTTAAAGGTTGACTTGTGATCCAAAATGGGCTGTTTGGTAATTAAACAATAAAAAAAAAACAAAAAACAAACAATTAAAGAGCAATGCTGAGGATCCTAGCCACTGTAGCCAGCTAAGGAAACCTTGTATGGTGTGGTATTGGTGCCATAACCTTGTGCAGCACATAAAAAAAAAACAAATTGGAAAGATCTCCAACAGATCTCAGAAAAATGGCAGCAAGTGCTCTGGACAGATGAGTTTAATGTAATAATTTTGGTTGTTGCAGAAGGTGATGTTATTGATCAAAGGGCTGGAGAGCAGTACAATGAGTATTCATAGTGAGAAATGGTGAAAGGTTGCTTGCAAGTTTGGAGCTGCCCATTTTTTCTGCACATGGAGTCGGAGATTTAATCAGGATTAACTGTGCTTAAAGCTGAGAAATACACGTCCATAATGTACCATCAGGAAGGTGTATGAATGGCCCCAAGTCTATTCTGCAGCAGGACCACAACCCTATCTTCAGCAGAAAACCTGAAAGTAATGGCATCATCTGGGATTACACAAGAGACAGAAGAATTCCATGAGCCTACATCTGCATATTTGTGGTTAGTCCTACAAGATGGAACAACCTACCCATCTAAACCTCCAAAAACGATGTTAATATGTACCCAAAGGTACTGATTCAACATAGAAGTCAAAGTAGTTGCACCAAATACTGATCTAGATTTAGATTTTTACTTCGTTCATTCAATGCGTTTCTTTAAATTTATCAATACACTTGTTTTTTTTTTTAAGTATTTTTTTTGTTTTGTTTCTATCACTTTTTTATACCAGGAGAGGACATTTTCACAGTACTGAGTGCACAAGCAGCATGGACAACTGTTGTTTTACAAACATTTACGTGAAGCAAAACAGGGACAGGAACCAGCAGGGGCCAGTACCCTTCTACTGGTTGTAGCTCCTTTACAAAAACATAATAAATATATTGTAAAGGCTAATATGCACTGGTACAGAGACCGCAAATGTTCAGTGCCTTGGAGCAATTTCTTTTTTTTTTTCTGGATCACGTTTTTATTTTAACAAAGATTTCAAAATTCAACTGTTGCATTTTTAGATTTAGTCATATTAACATGTGATCCCCTATATCTAAAGATAATAGAGCAGAATATCTCTCTTTGGTTCATTTAATATTTCAAACAATCTATTTTTGGTTCCATTCTTTTGCTCAGAGCCTCCATGAACAAACACTGGCTCCACCCTGCCCCCCCTGATAAATTTGGTCTAGAACCGCTACTGACAAGTACCACAACATCTGATTTAATTCCCCTGCAAAGCTTTGCATGCTGATCGCTTCCATGCCTTGCTCCATTAATACAGTAATTGATTCAAAGGGAGCCCAGAAGAGGTATTGAATGACATACTGCCTGTACGATATATGCTGCACTGGACACATGCCCTCAGCGTTCTGCATGCATTGGGTTTCAATTATTATAACCTCCAGAACTATTGACAAAAATCACATTGCACAATGCTGTCATAGAAACTTAGGTTAACAGACAAAGCTGCAACTCTTTATCCAGAGACATAGTGTAGATTTTACAGATGGTTTATCCCCTGAATCTTTACACTTATATTGTATCATTTTTCAGTATGCACCTCCATCCAACAACAACAGAGGTCACATCTCAGATATTTACCTTTTCTTACATGTGATATTCTAAGCTGGTTGACAGTTGCTTTTTGTATCTCTGAATCTGTCTCCTTGAACCCCAGTCGGCCTCTGCAGACGGCCGCTCACACTGAGCCTGGTTCTGCTGGAGTTTTCTTCCTGTTAAAAGGGAGTTTTTCCTCTCCACTGTCACTACAAGCATGCTTGGTATGAGGGATTGCTGAAGAGTCCATGAATCCTCGCAATCAGCTGGTTTTCCTTAGATAGAAAACTTTGAACCAATCTGACTGTATGATCTGGTTGATTTCGTCTCTGTAAAGTGCCTTTAGATGACGTGTTGTGAATTAGTGCTTTATAAAAAGCATTTGCTGAAAGTCAAAACTATAAAAAAACGAACAAAAATAAACACTTGTAATACATCTACATATTAGCTTTACACTTTAAAAATAAGTACTGATATAAATTAACTTTAGTGGTTTATTTCTAATTCTTAGAGCTGCATAGAAAGAGGAACAAAGAGTCTAATGACAGGTCCGGTTAACATACTCATTACAATAGGGACAGTGTAGAGTATCAACAAAGTGCAGCTGTCTGCTATTTTTAACCAGGCAGCTCCACTACAGTGAATTCATATTCTGTAGCTGCCTTTAAAAGCAGGAATGCATGGTGCACAAAGATACTGAGCTCATGCTGCTTTCTAAGCGATCACTTTGGTTTCCATTTTCAGTGAAAAAGCCTAAATGTTAAGTTAACCCACCTCCCCTGTTCAGTCTCTACATTGTCCTTTCAGACCCCCTGCTGTTAAAATTCCACACAGTTCAGTTTGCACCTGTTGTGATACTGACCTTGAGTCCAGCGGTTAAGAGTCCAAAGAAGTTTCCCTCTAAAGGTTGTGTTGCTCAAATAGATCAAAGCACCAAATGCCACAAAAAAAGGAGAAATAACAAAGGAGAGAAATGTAAACTTTAATGTATGCTGTTCATCCACAGAGCGCAGGGTGGACGGTGGGTCCCACTGACTCCCGGAGAGGGAGCTGCCACTGGTTAAAGGTGACATGATGTATTTATACTTTGACCAGTGACAGTGGGGGTGGGACAGAATAGGACTTCTATATCAGTAGAATAGACTGTCAATTGAGCATCATCTTTCGAGCACTGCCCCCTTCCTTTCTTGTTAGTATTTTTAAAGCAGTGCAGTACATTGTTATAGTGCCCCAAGTTTGGTACTTTCTAAAGCCAACGTTGTCTCTATGAGGGTTTTTCATCCTGTTAGTTTTGCCCATTTCTCGAGGCTCCAACATGCTCCTTTATGTGTGATGCTAATCACTTTCCAAAACTTTGAAAACACTAAAAAGGTAGAAAAACCCCTATTCAATGAATAAATTATTAGAAGGTAAGTTGCCTTGTTGAAAATAATTTTTTTGTTAAATATTTACAAATTTCCAATTCTATATTCTCATATTTTTTTCAACTTCCAAAAAGAGGACATGTCTTTATTAATCCATAGGGTTATGAAAAATGCAACAAATACAGATGTAAAGGCCATTAGTTCATATTTTTTAGAGAATTGTCGGTATTCTTTTAAAAAAGGAAAAAAATGTGAAGAATAGTTTTGGAGAGAAAAATTTGTGGAAGCTGGACAAAACTAAAGTTTGCCACGAGATCCTCCACATCTGTCACAAACATCTGATTTAGGAAAATTCCTGCTGGTTTCATCTTTGAATAAGGACATATGAGAGTTTGTGAAGTTTTTGTTGTTATAACTCCCACAAATATTGATATCCTAATTCATGCTTCCATTTTTCTTTTGTGTTACTGTATTTATAACCATCATATGATGGAAGAATAGATTAAGATTAGTGACCTTTGAGGGATAAAGAGTTTACACTATGACTGCCCACAGAAAATTTAGGGAAGTCAGAGAACAAATTTTCCTCACAGCTTCTTGTATTGGAGGTTGACAGATTGTATTTGATAGCCAGATGTGGGAGAAGAGGACACATGCTTTATAGAAAAAATATTAAAATAGTTTAGTTCCTTTTAATGCCAAAAGGAAACTGTCACATTAGTAAGTACAGATTTTTTTTTTTTTTTTAAGTGGGCTTAAGACTGTAGGAGCAGAGTGTGTATATATATATATATATATATAGCTTGTTTATTGAGAGTAACCACAGCATTGCATGTAAAACCTGGGAGTTATGCAATTACAATAAAAAAGCAAACTAATCTCATTTAATAATTTAAAGCCCCTGCATTTATTCTTATATCAATATATTAGAATATTTCAGTCATGGATCTTCTACTTGGTGAAATTAGTGACATTACCATTTTTTACAAGAGCCTAATGTTTATTTAAGTCTAGCTAATCAGAATTAAAATATATATTCTATTAAATAAACATCTGGAAATATCTTATATGACTGCAAATATCACATTAAGGGCTCTAATTGACATCTTATTGGTTTAACTTTATATTTTAATTAGCAGGTTTAATAAAGAAAACTGTTCACAAGACTTTATCAAATTTTTGACACTTAAAATAAATCTTGAAAATAAAAAAGTTTGAACTGCAGATGTCCAGTAAGTGCTGGCTGCTTTTATTCAACTGTTAAATAGCTGGATCCATTCCTGCTGAAGACACCAAAGTCTCCTTCCACATTACATTTGTTTTCTCCCTTTTTAAAATCATTAAACCTGCAAAACATAGAAGCCATGTTGCTCATCGAAGACATCCTGTGCAGGTGTTGCCTCGTCTCTTACATAAACATGACATATTAGTGATTTAAGTGAGTCGGTCCGTCTCTGTGGCTCATCAGGACATGGCTTTAGGATTGTTCCTGTTGTGTTTGCGTCAAGGCTGAAATTTTCGTGGTGCGGCCTGCAGATGAAACATGAGCTCTACTCCTCAATTGTGTCCTTTTTACTCGTCTCCTGTCCTTCAAAGATGGGATACTTGCTCTCCACTTCTGCCCAGGTCAGCGTGCCGTTGGCCAGATCTCGAACAATAACAGGCAGCTCACTGACCTGAAGAGGAAAAAGAATAGAAAGAAGGGTTTCAATAGATAATTAGATATGAGAAAGATAATTAAGCAATTATTAAAAAAAGTTATTCATCCATTGATGAAAATTACCAACCAGCCTGATCGTATGTGAAAAGCAAATGAGCATATAGAAACAGCAGCTGTACCTCGGCTCTGATCTGCCTCATTGAGTCGCGGTCCCTCAGCGTAGCCGTGTGAGGCGTCTTGTTCACTGTGTCAAAGTCAATTGTGATGCCGAATGCCACTCCTATCTCGTCCGTCCTAGCATAGCGCCTCCCAATGGACCCGGAGGAGTCGTCCACCTTGTGTGACACGCCGTTTCTGGTCATGGCCTCGGCTAAAACAAAGGAGCAGCAGAGGGTTAATGTACAGAAATATTTCAGCTATATAAAGATGAAACTGGATATTAGGAAGAACTCACATAGCTCCTTCACAAAAGGCACGAACTCTTGATTTTGGCTCAGAGGCAGGACAGAACATTTGTATGGAGCTACAGTGGCAGGGAAGCTAAAGTACTGCAAAAACAAAACAAAAAAGTGATTTAAACATGGCAAAACTCTGCCAAAAACATTGCTTAAAGAATGAACAGCGAAACACAGTTAAAGAAAAATATATAATCAACATAAGCTATAAAAATGTCTGGTTTAAGAGTATGCAGTGTCAATTTAAAGCTGCTGTAGTGAAAGAAACGCAGAGTCGAAAATGGAAATAATACAAAGCTTTGTTGAATTGTGAAGTTTGACTGCAGCATGTAAAACTGCTGCAACAAAAAGTCACAAATGACAACATTACCTGTAACAGCTTGTTGATGTTAATGAGAGGCACAACTTTAGAGCTACTGAAGCACCAGCAAAACTTTACATGCATACTCACAAATTCATTATCGTCTGACTGAGATATAAACTCATCAAGATCAGTAGAGAATAGTTATGAAACATTCCTTCACATTTTTTACCTTCTGTCATGTTTTGAGCCATAAACACAGGGCTGAGCTGGTTAAAAGTAAAATAACTGATAAAATAAATAGAAAAAAGTAATTACTGATGGTTCAGCAGTCAGTAATGACCGGCGAAAGAAGAAAGCGTGAATGATTTCCCTCCAAATTAAACCACAAATCCCAATAAGAAGTGTTTGTTTGGTGAAAGAAACGTGAATCTGAAATAAACTTTACATTTAAATCAAAACAGAATAAAAACAAATATCGGTCCAAGATTATAAATCCTGGATTTGGCATTTAAGCAAAAGGAAACAGAAGCCTGACCAACTCTAGGTAAGACATGACATAAGACAAGAGCCAGATTAAGATAACGCTAAGGTTTAAAGTGTGGCAGTGTCTCACCATCTTTCAATTTGGTTTTTAAACTTAATTACATAAATCGCAACATTTCAGCCTTTTGACTCAGAGTATTAACAAGATGCAAAAATATTATAGGTTGCAGTTTAAGATCTGTAGGTTATTTAACAGTCCGTTTGGGGGTAAATCAACTGAATGGAATATGCATAGAATAGGTAGAGAAATTAATAGAAAAGGCCAAAAATAGTGAACCGTGGACTGAATCTTGGGGAACCCCGGAATTAAGAGACTGTTAACACCTTCCACGCTTCACTGAACTTACCGTTCTCTGTTCGTCGCCTTCTCTGACGTGGAATGTGTGTTCAAAGATGGTGTACATGATCCTACCGATGCCAAAGGAAGGCTCAATCACGTTGGGAACAACTTCCTCCACTGCAGTAGAGGAGAGATGCAGGATGTTAAACTCAATGACCGGTAAATAATCCTGAATTTTTCCCTTAGGAATCTGTCTCACCATGCAAGGTCTTCTGGAACCTCTTCACTCCAACCATGTCCTTCGTAAGCTTAAACGTCTTCCCTTCTGTTTCGATGGTAAACTCTCTGCAGAGAGGAGAAAATAATCAGACCCAGTGAAAACTAATCCTCAATAGTTCTGAATATCCAAGAATGGCACCAACCCGTTATCATTCAGCAGCTGTTCCTGCTCTGTGATGAAGCATTCGTCACACACTGCCAGATACTCCATGGCTAACTTAGCATCCTTCTTATAAGCCTTCCCAATGGCTCCTTTGTTGGCCTCAAACTGGACAACATTTACAGTTTTGTGCAGAGAGGTTAAGGAGAAAAACTGAAGAAAAATTGCACCAATGTTTCTTTCGATTTGGTCATTACTGCAGTTGAAAGGATATAGGTTCTTTCAGAGGTTTCTCAGCAACCAGAGGGACCTTTGTAGCTCTTGCATGGCATTTCAGATCATAACAAGACCTGTCAGCACAGCCAACGATCTCGATCCAACCCTACAGCCGCAAAATGTAACTTTAGTTGTCCGAACTTAAAAAACACTAGAGGTTTTGTAGTGGGGCTTACATAGGAGGTCTTGGCTTCAGCGTCCCAGCAGTCACAGGCGTAATGAGCCATCTCGTTGTCCATGTGCTGTCGGAAGCGCAGCTTGTCTTTGGCAACACCAACTTTTGTAAGGTAGAGGTAGATCCTCCCAATGAAATAACCCAGGACGGAGTTATTGATCACTCCCTAAAAACAAAAATATCATGTTTCAGTTGAATTCTCCTAAATGATACTTTGCAACTTGGTGAAAATCTCTGATATTCACCTGTTCTACGGCATCTCCCAGCCTCATGATGTGCGCCGACTGGCCGCTGGTCTGGGCTTTGGATGAGTACAATATGATGTCCAGGTCAGCCACACTGGAGAATTTAGGATGGACCTTCTCGGTCGGGTCCACAAAGTGCTCGATCTCAGCCATGGTGAACTCTCTGCAGACAGGTGGAGTCATTATTTTCCAGCTTCTCCTCCCCAACCATTACATGTTAACCAATAGGGTTCCTAGATGTTCAAATTCCAAACTAAAAATGGGTCAACAGAGTGCAGCTAGAAAACATTTTTTTCCAGACCTGGAAATATGTGAAATCCAATTAACAGACTTGAACTTTTCAGGCTACAACCTGAAAAACAGGAAGTCTGAGGACTGCTTACCTGACCCTAATAAGGCCGGAGCGAGGAGAGATTTCATTCCTGAAGGAGTTTCCTATCTGAGCAGCAGCAAAAGGAAGTTTCCCTTGGTTGAACTCCAGGAGGCGCTTAAAGTTAAGGAAGATTCCCTGAGCAGTTTCAGGCCTCAGATAGCTGGAAAGGTACATCAAATTCAGAGATTAAAATAAATTAAAAAAATAAATGACACAAACGGTTTAAAAGCTTTAATCTACCCTGGCATGTTGCCTCCCGGTCCGATGGATGTCTGGAACATCAGGTTGAACGAGATGGGAGCTGTGAGCTCATTTCCTGTGGTCGGGGACTTGACGCTGTATTTCACAAAGAGGTCCGTCAGCTCTTGTTGCGAGTAGTTATCCAACTGAAAATGGTTAACAACAACAAATTCTGTTAGAAGCTATTTCATCAAGACGACGAATGCATCTTTTAGAGGGAGGCTCACCTGGGTGATGACGCTCTCCATCTCAGCCTTTTTCTCAGCTGCACATTTCTTATCAGAAATGAGCTTCTGGAGATGAGCTGTGGTTGAAGGAATAAACAAAAGTAACCTCAGTGTATTAGGGCTGGGCGATCAATCCAATCTCCTGTTTATGAAGATTTAATTTTCAAAGAATCTACATTTTCTTCCACCAATGCGGTCCATTGGCTTCCATAGCACATGACGTCTTTCATCACTTTTTATTCTTAGATGTGCTTTATACTATAACTAGCTGCAGACATGAAGGGTGTTGTAAAAAATAAATGCTTCACAATTTTAATTATCTTAACCATCTTAAAGGAGAGGATTTAACTAAAAGCTATTTTTTCATTAATGCATGCCATTTTCTTATTTTTTCTGAAGATGAAACAAAGAAAAAAAAAAGGATTTTTAATAGAAGATCATAATGTTAAACCCATTTCCTCATGAGCAACAATACTAGTAAACTACTATAACATGCATTTCTTGATCAAACCTACTGAGTCAAGGGTTTAGAAGGATGTAGATTTAAAAGCCATCTTTAAGAAGCAATTTTACCCTTGAGAAGGTGGTCAGCTCTGAAGCATTCCCCATTTTTGACATCCTTCACCATGTAGTCTGCAAACTTTTCCACATGTCCAGAGGTCCTGGAGCAAAACACAAGAAGAATGAGCCACACGTAGAGAGGAATATATCAAATCAAGTGTATCTGCAACCGGGCTATGGAGCGCTGCTATAGCTGCAGGTTCCATGCATAAAATCGCAGAAGTTTCTATGCGCCCTTTCATTCAAACCTACAGTTCGGCACTTTGGAGCCGACTCTAGGAACCACAGGGCGCCCTCTTCAGCAGAGGCATCGATTTAACATACAACAGTACTCTTTCCTTACTTTAGCAACAGGAGAACAAAAAAAAAGTTAAAGTAACCGATTCTGCTCTCTCAAACTAAATGCTTAACAATTTGGTTCGCAGTACTGCAAACCTACTTCTCTTTGGGTATTATCATCTTCCTACCAACCTTGATCCAAACTGTACCACTGTTTGCTTTTCTGATCAGTGCACCTACTTGAGAACAGGCTCAGGAGTCAGCATGGTGCAGTCGATCTCCAGGATCTGTTCCTCCTGGATGAAGTGCTGCCTCCACACCTGCAGGATGTTGTTCTTCAGGGCACAGCCAACTGGGCCGAAGTCATACAGGCCGCTCACACCTGAGGGACACAAACTAAATGCTCGGAATCTTGACAGGCTTGATAAGCAACTCCAAAATTAATTAATTCTCTGATCATTGAACACACCATACACTAGATTCTGAGGTTGTTTCTCAATGTGTACTAGTGTGTTCTCATGCCTCAGTCCTCGTTGTTCTCTCTATTTACCAAGTATGCATCAGAGACTTGTTAATTCTCAAGATTTACAGCTGTCCCAGCATGCACCGCAGGAAAATCAGCTTCCAGGGGAGCGCTCACAGAGCCCAGAGTATTCATTTAAAAGTTCAAAGTACATTCTAAGATCATTTGAAGCGAGACCATTATACTTCTAAGCGTCACTATATGGGCCATTTACTGATTTAGTGCGTCATTTAAAAAAAAAGTTCAGATGTTGAGAGGACCACGGCAACCAGCGGACCTCCGAGGCTAACCGCAGCCAAGCCCGTCTGCAGCAGCCCTCTCTCGGCATAGCCATGTGTGAAATACCGCTACCTCTGATGGCGAGTATTTTGTTTTATTTGACAAAATTTCTAATAATGTCACTGTGTTAATTATTATTCCTCAAACAAACAAAAAAGAATTTTATTATCTAGAGACTATTAATAACAGGAGGTGAAATGCAGCTCCAGCAGAGTCAGGCGTGTGGTGATGTCACTAGTACGCTTCTGTTCCAATTGACCCATATGTATGCTGTGTGCTCCCGTTCTCCCCAAGTCCATTTTTTCCTGTGTCCTTGTCAAGAACATAGTAAGCGAGACTTGGTGAGACCGTGCCCGCGTTCTTATGAATCGAGTAACGGCCTTACAGTTTTTAAGAGGAAAAAAATGTCTGTCAAAAATCAGAGGAAGAGTCAAAGTGAGTGATATGAAAACAAGAAAAGTGAAAATGTGCAAATAAAATAATTGAACTTTATTGATCTCACATTGGAGAAATTTACCTCTGCATTTAACGCATCCCCCTATTTGAGCAGTGGGCTGCCATCATGGGGCGACCGGGGAGCAGTGTGGGGTTAAAGATCTTGCTCAGACACCCAGAGTGGCAGTCTGTGGGAGTGGGGCCTGAACTCAGACCCTCAGGATTCCAAGCTCTATGCCCTAACCACTAGACCACCATTCATATCAAGTGGTGTTTTGTCCCAAATCAGATCAGATTATAATAATTTTCCCCCCAATATCTACTAATAGCTATGCAGAATGTTACCTCCATAGATGGCAAAGGCCTGATCATAAAAGAATCGCCGTTTCAGGGTGTCCTCCATCTTGGTTCTGTCAACAATGTCATCTTTGGGTTGCAGCGACAATTCCTGCAAATGTTAAACCACCTTTTAACAGCAATATAAACCTGCGCATAAGACTCATTTCCAACATTTCTTATCCAGCTTATAGCTGCTTTTACTTATGTGTGAGCTGTGATTTGCAGTGAATGTGTCACAAATAAACATTCTAGCCACTTTGCATTTAAGGATCAAGACTATTCATACTGTGCAAAAATGGAAAATAAAATGAAGCTTGGAGAAGGTGTAAACATGGAGTCAATCTGTTGGTTGAATCATGAGAACAGCAGTGATTTACCTTGGCCTCTAGAGCTTTCTTCCTTGCTTTAAGTTCTGCCACGGCTTTGGTCACATCCACCTCAGGAGCTCCTTCCTGTTTCATCTGGCGCACTAGATCCCCCTAAAGAAAGGAATCAGAGCAGACCGCTCCACCAATTAGCTCCATTCTGGGTTCCGCTTCAAAGCCAAAAAATAAACCTGATTGCAGATGTGGTGTTTTTCTCCTTTCTGAACCCCACCCTGCAGCCAGATACTGCTCACAGCTACAGGAGTACCTCAACGTGGCAGCCGGCATGATTGCCAGTTAGCAGCTAGCTGCTGTAGCTAGCTGCTCCAGATAGTTAGCATCAACTAGAGTGTTAATGAATGAATCAAAGGAGCCATGAAGATGGCTAACTGATTAAACACGTCAGCTCTACCTGCTCTTTAACTGCCTGCCTCAAAGGGGCGAGAATCTCTTCAATGTTTCCGTCCCCCATGGTTTGTCCTTCCGTAAACTGCAGCCAGGGGCTCCTCTGCTTCTTCTTAAACAGGCAGACCGACGATGAAAACGGCCTCCTTCCGGGCAGGTGGTGGAGTGAAAGCCGGACGAACCGCGCCGTAGACAGCAAACACAGCGGGGGGAGCTCAGTGCTGGTCCTCAGCAGGGCTGATGCAGCGCTGCGCAGAAGAAGCATGGACCGCTTAGCTGCAACCACGGGAGGATGATGAAATCTCTGGAAACAAGTAAACGCCTCCTTCAGGGCGGATTAGGCACTTTCGTCACAAGTCTCACCTATTAAGAAACACATCAGCAGATTCGTTAGAGACTCACAAAACTCCTATAAAAATAAATAAATGAACAAGTGAACGAACGAATCTTATATAATGACTCAGAAATAAAAAAATAAATAAATGATAGGTTGTAAAGTTTTAGTTTCACAGATATTTAGGAAATAACAATGTATTTTAAATAACACACAACATTTTAGAAAATGGCAAATATGTGATGAAGAAGCAAAATTAAAATAAAAAAGAATTTGCGGAGGATTCCAAATGAATTCATGACTTGTTAAAAAAAAAA